GAGCAACATAGTGAGACCACATATTTACAAAAAAATTTAAAAATTATCCAGGTGTGGTGATGCATGCCACAGTCATACCTACTCAGGAGGCTGAGAAGGGAGGATCACTTGAGCTTTGGTTTTTGAGGTTACAATGAGCTAATCACACCACTGCACTCCATTCTAGGCAAGATAACAAGATCCCATCTTTAAAATGACAACAACAACAAAACAAAAAGAAACATACAAGAAAAGGGTATGGGGACTAAAAGTGAAAACTTTCTGAATGTAATTGAAGTTATTATCATCCAAAATAGGCTGTTATTACTATAAGATGTTTTATATAAGTCTCATAGTAAGTGCAAACATAATGACTGTCAAAGCTGCACAAAAGAAAAAAATGAATTAAATAAAAACAAAAAAATTAAGACAGCAAACTCGGAGAAAGGGGGCAATACAACTAAAAGATGAACAGGTAACAACTCTCAAAATGGCAAAATTGTCCTCCCCTATCCATAATTACCTTAAATGTAAATGGATTAAAGCCTCCAATCAAAAGATATACATACAGTTGCTGAATGGGTTGAAGAAAAAGACTTACTTTTGTAGACTATGCTGTCTACAAAAGACTCACTTCAGATTTAAGGACACAAAGGCTGAAAATGAAAGTATGGAAAAAGATATTTTATGTTAATGATATTCAAAAAATAGCAGGGGTGGCTATAGTCATATCAGACAAAATAGACTTTAGGTCAAAAACTCACACAAGTGACAAAGAAGTCATTACATAATGATAAAAGTATCAATTTACCCAGAAGATATAACAATTATAATAATGTATACACCAAACATCAGAGCACCTAAATATATAAAGCAATCATTGACAAAACTGAAGGGAGAAATAGACAGTGATATAATAATAGTAGGAGACTTCAATAAACCGCTTACAATAATGAATAAAACCTCCAGACAGAAAGTCAATAAGTAAATAGTAGACTTGAACAACACAATAAACCATATAGGCCTAAGAGACATATTAAGACTATTTCACCCAATAGTGCAGAATATACATTCTTTTCCAGCACACGTGGAACACTTTCTGGGATAGATCATATGTTAATTCATAAAACAATTCTTAACAAATTTAAGATTGAAATCATACCAAATATCTTTTCCAACCACAGTGAAATAAAACTAGAAATTAATAGCAGAAGGAAAACTTTCTTAAACAACCAATGAGTCAAAGAAGAAATCAATGGCCAGCCTTGGTGGCTCATGCCTATAATCCCAGTGCTTTCAGAGGCTGAGGTGGGAGGACCAATTGAGACCAGGAGTTGGGGACCAGCCTGAGCAACTTGTCAAGACCCTATCTCTACAAAAAAAAGTTTGTTTTAAATAGCTGGATATGTTGGTATGTCCCAGCTACTCAAGAGTCTGAAGCAGGAGGATGGCCTGAGCCTGGAGGTTCAAGGCTGCAGTGAGCTCTGTTTGCACTGCTGCACTCCAGCCTGGGTAACAGAGCAAGACCCTGTATCAAAGAAAAAGAAAATTTAGATGGGCATGATGAAACATGCCTATAATCCTAGCTACTCAAGAGACTGAGACGAGAGAATCACTTGAGCCCAGGAGTTACAGTGAGTTATAATCACACCACTGCACTCCAGCCTAGCAATAGAGCAAGACTCTGTCTCAAAAAAAAAAAAAAAAAAATCACACAATCACAATAGATACAGGAAAAAAGCATGTTACAGAATTCAGTACACTCTCATGAGAAACTCTCAAAAAACTAGGAATAGAAGGAAATTACTTCAACATAACGAAGTCCAAATATGAAAAGCACACAGCTAACAACATATTCCGTTTTCTTAAAGGTGAAAAGCTAAAGTTTTCTCTTTAAGATCAAGAACAAAGCAAGGATGCCTATTTTAACTACTTCTATTCAACATAGCACTGGAAGTCCTAGCCAGAGTAATTAGACAAGAAAAAAAAAAGAAGAGGCATCTCAGAAAGGAACAAGCAAAATGATCTCTATTTGCACATGCCATGATGTTGTATGTATGACGCATGGTTAGAGGTGGGGAGCAGGAGGTTTATTCCTGTTCCTTTTGTCCCCATCTAGAACCATCACTCAAAACTATTATTTTAAGTAATCAGAAAATGAAACTTCAAATTTAGCAAATTCTAAGGAAATGACCAAGCTCAGGAGAGAATTTTATTTGTATCTCATTTGTTTAGAAGGTAATCTCAAATGTGCCTGGGAATCCCAGAAATGTTTACCGGAATAGTAATGGATACACAGTTGACCCTTGAACAATGTAAAAGTTAAGGACACTGACCCTCCATGCTGCCAAAAATCAGCATATAACTTTTGACTCCCCTAAAACTTAACTACTAATAGCCTACTGTTGAACAGAAGCCTTACCAGTAAAATAAACAGTTGATTCACAAGTATTGTGTATGTTATATGTATTATATATTGCATTCTTACAATAAAGTAAGCTAGAAAAAGAAAATGTTTTAAGGAAATCATAAGGAAGAAAAAATATATTTACTGTTCGTTCACTGGAAATAGATCATCATAAAGGTCTTCATCTTTATCATTTTTTTGTTGAGTAGGCTGAGGAGAAGGAGTTAGAAGAGGGTTGTTCTTGCTTTCTCAGGTGTGGCAGAGGTGGAAAAAATCCATGTATTAGTGGGATCACACAGTTAAAACCCATGTTGTTCAAAGATTAACTATATTCATTGCTTCATACATAGATAGATATAGATACAGATATAGATGGAAGCAATTAATGGAAAAAGATAGACTTCCAGTATTTAAAGCTCCACGAAGGCAGAAAAACATATCTAGTTGGTTCATCATTCAATCACTAATAAATTCATTCAACAAATATTAATCAAGCATTTGCTATGTGCCAAGCACTGTGCTTGGTGCTGGGCATTTATTTTGAAGTGGGATATGTTTATATTTTTAAAACATTCTGGCACTGTGTGGAGAGTGACTTAGAGAAAGGCAAGGGGTGAGCAAAGAGACAAGGTAAGAGCCTACTATAGTCTAGCCAAGAGATGATAGTGTGGCCCTGAACACGCAGTGATACACTTACTGCCATGGGGAAAGCTGGGAAAACTGTTACGCAGTTGGTAAATCAAGAGTTCTGTTTTGAACATATTGTGAGTTGCCTGAGAAACATCCAAATGAAGACATGAGACAGGCAATTAACATGTACAATCTGGAGCTCAAGGGAAAGGTCTTAGTACAGAGTGGCTATTCAATACATATTGGCTTGCTTAATTAATTATCATAAATAAGATATGGGCTCAGTGTTCTGGTTGCCCAGAAGAGTGAACATAGACTAAAAAACCTAATAATTTTTCATTTCTACATCTATCATTCTTGTAGCCTCTTCTCACATCCCTGATTTATTTGAATGCTAGATAGACTTTTAATTACATTTAAGTGAATTATTTTGTCATTGTGATTTTCTCTGGACTGCCAATTTCATAAGTATTCCATCTAACATCTCATTAGGCCTCTACCTATGTGCTATATTAATTCAGTCCTTACATTTATTTAATCCCAAGTATATGCCAAGCAACATGCTAGGTGTTAGGTGCATGTCTTTGCCTATTTTTAATATTTCAAGGGACTAGAGCTGAAAAAGAAAACAACAAATAACAATAAGAAAAATTACAGTATATGAAATTGATTATGACTTTCCTATTTATTATTGCTGTATTTTAAGTTTTTATCACTGTGGTCTGAGAAACAATGTCTTAAAATAAGTTTGCTTCTGGACAAGGTTTGTTAGTCAGACAATAAAATATTATTTAGTCAAGGTCCTCTGGAACAGTATTGGAGGATAAGTGGAATTAAAAATCATGAACCCTCCCTCCTTATGTTCAACAAAAAACAGCACAGATGGACCCACAATATAAATTACGTAGCTAAAAAGTAAACAACTAACAAAATAAATCTGTCCATGTTTTCATTTCCTGTGATCTTATCTTTTTATTAATTACACAAATAATGTAATACTGCATGTTTATTGTAAATTAAAATGCTAAGTACACAGATTTTTTAAAAAATGAATTCATCATCATGCTCTTCATTCCCTCCGACCTGTTTTTCAGAGGTATCCACTATTAACAGTTTAGTCAGTTTCCTTCAAACTGTTTTCTGTGCACATATGTATGTCTTTACTTTTTCAACATAAGTTAGATGATACTATGCTTTTGCCTTCTTCACTTGTTCAATATCTTAGACATTGAGAAATGTCGTTTTTAAAATGCTGCATAATATCCCAGGGTGTAAATGTACCATAATTTATTTATTGGTATATAATTAAGTTGCTTCCAATTTTTATTATCACAAAAATACTTTGGTACGTATCCTTATATATCTCTATGTGCAAATGTAAGTATGTTTGTAAGATCAATTCCTAAAGACAGAACTCTTTAAGTTAAAGATTATGCATATCAAAATTTTAGTTGATACCTGCCAAATTTTAGATGTTTCTACACCACAGTCCCTAGTACAACAGATCATAGAGGCCACTCAAACCATTAACCAGGTCACAGTAGAGCCCTGTTACTCAAGGTGTGGTGTCTGGATTGGCTGCATCAGTATCACCTGGGAACTTAACAATACATATAAATGCTTGGGCTCCGTCCCAGCTGAACAGAATCTGAACTCTGTAGGTGAGGTCCAGCAATCGGTTTTAACACTCTCCAGGTGATTTTGATATACACCAGAGTTCTGGAGCCAATCGTAGGCTTTCTGGCTACTCCGATTTGTGCTAGGAGCTGTGGGAAAATGCTTCATAAGAACCTATGCCTGGCTGAATTCATAGTATTGATCATGGTAAATAACAGCCATCTTATTTGCTAGCTAACTTAAGGGCACTGTCCTCAAGAACTGAGGAAAAAATAGATTCTGTTTCTTCTCCATGTGAGAGCTTTATCAAGATCTTTGTGAGAACTTATAGGCACGTTTCTCTGACTCTCCTGTTTGTTGACTTCAGGCCCGGAGTCTTCAGTAAACATGGATCTGTACAGTGGAGCTCAGCAAGTGTGCAGGGCCTTCTCTGCTCTTGTTGATCAAATCACCTTGCCCAGTTTGGAGTGAAGTGGAGTCCAGTCTCAAAGGCTTCTTGGTGTGATGACAAAATGCAGTTGCACATCTGTATCAAAAGGATTAAGACTTCTGCTTTTCTTTTAATAGTTTGGTGTGAACTATGAAGAAAATAAGTTTTTTTTTTTGATCTCCCTACTTATGTATCTTAGGTCTTCATTTCAGAGTGAAGGTTGAGGGTTGGGGGTAAGTAGAGGATGAAGAAGGAAAGAAGAAATGGCAGAGTCAGACCTCTGCATGCAATGGTCATGAATACCTCCAGGGTAACATTCAAGTGTGTAACCTCATGGATGCCTGCGATGTCTTCCTCAAGTATCATGTAAATTACTGAATTGATGGTCTAATTTTTTATCTTGATGTTTCTGCTGGAGAATAGGCTTAGCAAAGAACTAAATACACACACACACACACACACACACACACACACACACAATTGACTGCATGTAAAACTGGTAACATCTGAATAAATTTGGATTATACCAATATCAGTTTCCTGGTTATAATATTGTGCCATAGTTATGCAAGATGGTCCCATTGGGGAAACTATATGAAGGGCATACAGATGTCTCTGTATTATTTCTTATAACTGTATATGAATCAAGTATCTCAAAATAAAAAATTTAATATGAATGTTTGTCTCTAAAACCTCCACATTTGACAAGTTTCACCAAAGCATCTGTGTGCCTTCTTCCACTGTATGTTGGATTAGGTTATAGATGCTTAACTTACTAATGTGCAAAGTAGTAGCTAACCTTTTTTGACTGTTAAAGCACTTAGCTTTTAAGCATTTTCTATGTGCTAACTCATTTAATCCTCACAAGAAACCTAGGTAGTATATATCTCATTTTATGAGGAAAATGAGACACAAAGAGGTTTAGTAACTTGTCCAAAGTGATGTGGCCACACTTTGATGAAGCTGAGATTTGAACTCAGCTTCTGAACCTATACTATAACCACTACTCTGTACTTCCTTTCAATAAATATTGTGGTGATTTCAATGTTTTTGTCTATTATCTTGAGATGCAGGCCATGTAACATTCATAGAGGTTGTAGATTTTTATATGATCTGTAATTCCTAAAACTGTTTACAGAGTGAAATAATGTCCCATTGGATGGGATTAGGACTAGGTTATTCCTGTCCCATCTCATCCTAATAGTTTTTAATCTGCTTTTTAGCCTGTCCTAAACTTTTGGTTTTAGTTTTGTCATTTAGCATAGTTACTCTCCTTTTTACTTCATCCCAGCTTGTTCCTTACACGTTTGATAAGCATGCCCTTCATCAACAAGCTGCAGCCCCTGGGTCAAATTCTGCTCACTCCCTGTTTTGAACAGGCTATGAGCTAAATGTGGTTATTACATCTTTTTAAACCACTGACAAAGTCCAAAGAAAAATATTTTGTGGCATCTGAAAAGTGTATGGATTCCTATTTCAGTGTCCATAAACAGAGTTTTATTGGAACACAACCATATTCATTCATTTATGTATTGTGATAATACTTTTGTTCTGCCAAGGCAGAATTGATTAGTTACAGCAGAGACTGGATGGTTCGCAAAGCCTATAGTATTTGCTAACAGACTACAGAAAAAGATTGCATTCCCTGTAGTGGAGTACCAAGGTGAGGGAAGAACCACAGGCTCTTCTGCAAGCTCGTTCTCCAAGTGTAGTGCCTCTTCGATGATTTATGAGATAATGAATTTGCATGATAGCTTTGAAGCATATGATGAAAAACATTAGAGAAAGCATCAGAATGCAAAATCATGAGCCTATATATAGAAAAGGTAGTTAAAGGGTGGCAGCCTTTTGGTAAAATACTAATTTCCCCAACCAACCAGTAGCTGAGGCTGGGCCTTCTCCCCCGCCTCTTTCCCCAAGTGTCCTTTCCCTGTAGTCAAGACTCAGCTCATCTTCAAACGAAACTGTGTTTTCTGATAATAACCCTTTAGAAACAATTTCTAGTTTAAGGAGGGCCCTAATCCTTCAATGAAAACATATACCGAGGCTTCCTTTGGACCTGAAAAGAGCAAGGGAATTGCTAACATATCTGAAATTCAAACTGGCTGTCAATCCTGTATATTGGTTATAATAGAATGATTGGAGAGTTGGGAATAATTAGAGATAAAAATAGCATTGTGTCTCAAATTCAAATACATTTGCTAATTGGAATTCTCTGCTATAAACCTTGTTCAGGCCTGGTCATTTTTCAGGGAAATAATTATTTATGGGTTCTTCTCTTATAATGCTGTTCACTTTATTTTGCTTTTCAGTGCAAAGTGTAACCACGTATAGAGTTATAATATTTAATCAAATAGCAAAAATGCTTAGTGGGAAATAATTTGTACCTATTTACACTTAAACATTATTTTATTAGTGTTTGGATGTCATTAGTGGTAACATTAAATATTGAAATAAAGAGACTCCAATCACATTACCTGGGGTCCAGAGCTTTTATTAATTTTTTTTCATTAGAAGAATGCTTTTTTTTTGCCAGTTTTTTTGTTTTGTTTTACTTTTTGCTTCATTTGGTATTCAAAAATATGCTCTCAAACAAGATTCAGGTATCACAGATTGTCAGTAACTAGTAATTAATAAATATAGTCCCTTATGTGCCTGTGCATAAGCAATCCAGTGGTTAAAGGCTTGGAAGCCATGCAGTGTGTTCAAGTTAAATGTATGGCACACTAGTTTAACATGTCAGGCATCCCAAAATGAACTATTAAATGAATACAAAGAATCCCCCAGTAATCTCTGGAAGTTATTTAACTCCTTTAGACTGGGGGATAGACTGGCAGTAATGTCACCTTGAAGAAATGTGCTAGCAGCCTAAAAAAAATGAAGCTTTAGATAAGTATACTGAGAGAATTTGGGTTAATATTTACCTCTGGACATTTCCACCATTTAAAATAAATAAATAATCAATAGTTAAGAGAAATGTTATATATGTATATTTAATTTCAAGGCATGAATTAGCTCCAAGTTCCAATTATTTTCTCTTTATTTCCTGGTTCACTTTTCCAATGACACTAGACCCACTCCTATGCACATGCATGCGTATCAAATCTTCAATCAACTCTTTCTTCTTTAAGAAAGTGATCCTTAGGAGCTGAGAATATGTACCTGAAAGTAGAAAAATGAAACTTCTTAAGATCACCAAATTATTTTCTGGTTAATTAAATATCAATAAATTATTTTTAAAAGGCAAGTTTGATGTTTCTGCCACTCTAGTATCACAATTCTGTATATATTTATTTCAGATGAATAGATGCAAATGTGTATTTGTGCAAAGTCTTGGGTCCTATGCAGTTTAGTTACATAATTTAAAATAAAGAAATTATAATAAACACATTTCTTTGTCAATTAATAGGCATTGAAATATTTGTCTAATTTTTAAAAAGTGAAAAATAGTCATTACATAATTATTTATACAGAAATATAAAGAAAAAAAATTAAACTGCCCATAATATAACCTCCTGGAGATAACCATAGTTTTGTGTATCTGCACTTTATACTATAATTTATTTAACCACTACCCTATTGTGGGATATTTAGATTATTTCCAGGTTTCTTATTATTATAAATAATATTACAATAAATAGCCTTGGACTACACCATTGACTGTATCTCTAAATGTTTCTTAATAGTAGATTTCTAGATAGGTAATTGCTGAATACATGGCTTAGAAAATTTCTTGGAGTGGGTGAAGTAGAAAATCAAGCATTGGAGCATCTATTCTGTTTCCGAACCACTGTTTTCTCTTGTGGTTAGTGTTTAAAATATAAGCACTAGGAACATTTGCCAGCTAGTGTAACACCAGCTGCAAACACCATCAGTTTATAAAGCTAAATTTTAATTTTCTCATCACAGGGGAAAACAAAGACTCACTATCTTTCTAGAACATACAAAATACCAGGATCGGGAAGGCAGGGTTTTTTGTCCCTCTTAGAGGCAGAGCAAGGTTTGTTGAAGGAGGAGGCCACCATTTTGACACAAAGAAGAATGTACATTGAAATTTCTTCATTTGCATTGAAGCCTTTACTAACTCATGAGTTACTCTCAATTCTATTATTTTCTATTTAGGAGTCATGAGTATGCTCTTTCCCTAACTCTCTCTTTCTCTCTCTGCCTCTCTCTCTCTCTCTCTGTGTGTGTGTGTGTGTGTGTGTGTGTGTGTGTGTGTGTGTGTGTCCCTTTCTCTCTTTCTTCCTTGACATAATCCATCAGAATTTAGTGGTTAACTGGTTAATCCTGGGTATGTCTTCTTCATACGTTCTCTTGGATACTTCAACCTTCAGTTATTAGCCCATGTCTTTCTAGACTAAATAACAATGATCTTTAGAGGCTTTTCTCATAATGACATCTCTAGCCCCTTTATTTCTGAACCTCGTCTATTCCTGCTCATCATTATTATAAACAGCCATAATGTCCAGGTCATCATCCAACTCAGTCAACTGTCCTTGGGGTGAAGGCTCTTCCAGGTCCTTCCAGGCACATAGTTAAATAAGTGCCTTTCATATGATTCCTTTTTATAGAATCATAGAACATTAGAAGAGAAAAGATGAGACTTGTGTATCATCTACTTTCTGTACACTTCTTTTTCAGTTGAAAAAACTGAGGGCTAAATAAGTTAGTTAACCTGCTCACAGTTACAGTTACCTGACATTTTTTGTTTTCATATTTGTTGACTCAGTATTAACAAATATGATATATTAGCATGCAAGATTATATAGGAGTTTTATGTTTTTGATCATAGTAAGATTTACCAAGTGCATTTAAACTATTTGATTTGAAGACATCAAAATAACAAGAAACTTTTTGCATATTATGTAGACACTTATTTTAGTTCTTCTTGTCTTCTGCCCTGATGATGTGATTTCCTTGTGAACTATAGAGACAAGCACTTCTCCACCTTCACTCCCATCCCAATCTAACAACATATTATCCCCAGGGACAAAAGAAAAAATTACTGGAGGATCCATGCAGGTACATTCAGAGCCCAGTTGAACCACTAGAGATTTAACTAAGCCTCTTGAGATGAAATCTCAATGTTCCTGTAACTATTTAAGTTTTGGACATGGCATTTCCTTGACCCAAGACCCTCTTTGACTATGATTTTACAAACCAGATGGAAAGTCTCGTTTCTTGGTCTGTAAGCAATTGTATGTGTCAAACATTAAAATTACCTCAATAAAGTGAAATGCTCACTCCTGCTACTTGGCTACTTGCATACCAGCTCTCTAAAGTTTGCAGACCGGGTGAATCACTAACAACTCTGTAGCAAGATGAAGGAAGTGACCTCCAAAGCTGAGGCTGACTTGGGGAAAACCTTTATAAAATAGGCATATATATATATGTGTGTGTGTGTGTGTGTGTGTGTGTGTGTGTGTGTGTATTACATATGTACATAACATTTTCATGTTCAGCTGAATCCAAATAATATTTTCATTTATTAATTTATTCAGTGGACATTTCTTTGAGTTATTCAAAGTGAATGCAAGTTAGAAAAAATATTCCTATAAAAAAATATGATTTTTTAAATATGGAAGAAAAGGCCTTACGGATCATCCTCAGCAGTATAGAATAAAAAAATATATGGTCTTTACTGGTGCTGATTCCTGCACAGCCTCTGTTCAAAATATTTTTATAATATGGATAAACAACATTTAAAAGTATTCATTTGGTATTTCCACTTTAGTAGCAAGACTGGTGAAAGAATATTTCCTCTAAAAAGTGAAACTGGCTTGAGTTACAATAACACTTACTAAAATAATAAACTTAGCTACAAATTATAGTCATGAATTATCTGGATTTTTTGGATTAGCAAATCATGAGGATTTTTAATTATTAAGGTTAAAACAAACTAGATATATAAAAGCTCCAAAATATCTTGGGAAAGGGTAGCACTAGAACTACCACTGTTAATTCTTATTTAAATATGGAGATTACAGGAATATGTAACAATTCTAACAATAAAATGTATAAATGTAAAAATTAGTTATGCCCCTGTTTTCTACTGTAGCATATATAATTCTAAAGAGTTATTGCCAAACAGCTCTTAATACAAGGTTTCAATGCTCATTGGTTGAAATGACATCAGAAAGGAATAAAAATAATATGAATAAGGTCCAGGCATCTCTCTAATAACTCAGAGAGGCTTATGCAACCTCATTCTAATTGTATAAGGGACATTTTTTTCTATACCCTCAGATGAGACTATTTGAATATAGTATTTACTTCAGTGAAAAATCTCTAAATTTGTAGCAAGTTCCAACTTACTAAAAATTACTCAGATTGGTCCAAGTTAATTACTTATTTGAGATTCATTCAAAAAGCGACATGAAGTGAATCCACATGCAGGCTGACTTTTTTACTCTTTATTTCTT